TTGCCAAAAATTAGGAAGGAAAGCGTGATGAATAGGCAGAGCACAGGCCATTTTTAGGGCAGGGAAACTATTCCATGTGATACTGTAATGGTGGATACATGTCACTATACATTTATCTAAAAATGTATAATGGCATGTATTATAGTACATACATATTATAGTACATATAGAAAGTACAATACCAAATATGAACCCTACGGACTTTGGGTGATAATGATGTCAATGTAGGTTCATCAACAGTGACAAATGTACCACTCTGGTGGAGGATGTTGATAACGGGGGAGGCTGTGCGTGTATAGGGCCAGAGGGCACATGGGAACTCCGTACATTTTGCTCAGTTTTGCTGTGAATCTAAAACTGCTCTAAATAATAAAGTATATTTAAAAGGAAATACAGATACACTATACGTTGTATATATATAATTATACATTCAAAAATATGTCTCAAATCCACACCTTCTCTATATTCCCACTGTCAACATCTTGGTTCAGAATCTCATCACCTCTCACCTGGACCAGCCTCCTAACTGGCCCAGTCTTACCTTCTTTTATACATTCTTCACATTGAAGCCTGAGTGATCTCTCTCAAACAGACAATCCTGTCTCTCTCCTGCCTCAGACCCCTCAGTGGTCCTCCAGATCTGTCAGCATCAAGTTCAAACTCCACAACATGGTCTGCGTAGGACCTGCATCATTGGCCACTCCCTCTCTAGTCCAGCTACAGGGAACTTCTGCCGCTTCCTCTGTGTCTGTTTCCCCTGTTCCAGGGGCCTCTTCCCCCTTCCGTACCCTCTCTTGGCTAACTTTGACCCATCCTTCAGGTGTCTATGTGAACAACTCTTCTTCCTGCACATCTGCCTTGATCCCTCCTGTCTGGGTTAAGTGCCCCTACACTGTGCTTTCTTAGAACCTCATCATCAAGTATCTAGTTGTTTACCTCTGTGCCCCGTTAGACTGAGAGCCTGAGCGAGCAGGGATGGCATCTGCCATGTTTTTTGTATCTCTAAGCACCTGGCTCAGGGCTTACAGACAGTAAACATTTGGTAAATAGTAGTTGAATGAATGAGTGAGGTTTGTTGATGTCTATACTAAGAGCTCTCAGCTCCTCGCTCTGCTTTCTACATAGAGAGGGCAGCTGGGGCGCCGTAAGGGTGATCCCAGGTGAGTGGTCAGACCAGAGGGCTGGGGCATCTTCTGCTCCAGACTAAGAGGTAGAATGATGGTAGGAGAACATGCTTCAAGGTAGTAAGCAGGAACAGTTTCAGGGTTGAGACAAAGTTCAGGCTTCTTCTTCCATTATATACAGAGTGAGAAAGCATCCCTGCCTATGTGTGGAGGGGCTTTTGAAAATGTACTGATCTGGTCTGACCCAACTAAGATGACCTACTTCTCCTGCCCCTCTTTCTGCCCTTTCCTGGTCACGGCAGGAATCTTTTCAGAGCATATGTGTCTTATAAGAACGTTCCGGCAAGTTCACGCTTTTGGTCTGCTCTGACTTGAGATCAGAGGCAGCTTGGATTTGGAGTTTGCTTTCAGAATTCATGGAAGGCTCAAAGCTCTATTTTTGAGTAACCCCAAAAGCCCCTCCACACTTGGCTGGCTTCCAGCCCAGATCATTCTCCTTCCCTTCATCCCCTGCAGCCAGGCAGATTCAAGCTTGAGAGACAATGGAATTATGGGTAAATTGTTTGCTCACAGTGAGGGGGTCCACCCCGCCCCACCCAACCCAAGCCTCCCTTCAGGCAAGGTCAGTATCAGCAAAAAGCTAGCTGCACTCCCCTCCCGGGAACGCAAAAGAGACAAATTTAATAAAAATCTATCTTATTGACAGCCTGACCCACCAGCATTGATCACATTAGAAATGATGCCCACACACACAATCCCCATCATGCACAAAGGGCCAGGCTCAGTGGAGCTCAAAAAACCAGTTAAATCTGTCCAGTGGTGATTCTTTCCCCAAGGGCCCAAAACATCCCCCAAACTAATAACCCCCAGAAAAGCACTGCCGGGGAAAATTCCTTGCGGATTTGAGATTTTCACTCTGTTAATCTCCTAACTCAATAAAGCAAACACTCCCGTAACAAATTAAATACTTTTATTAAAAGGTCCCCTCCCCCAATCTCTTTGATGTGGGTACAAACCTGCAACCCTCTCAGGGCCTGAGTGTCCACATGAGGGGTTGTTCCCGCCTCCTATCATTTTCTCCTGTTATTCCAAGAAGGCCCAGAACCCACTAGGATTTGCTGATTCTTGTATTCTGGAAACTTTCGAGACCTCTGGCTTCCCTGAGTAGATGGCACAGCCTGTCAGCTGAGGGAAATTCTTCCCATTTTTTGGTGGGGTGACAGGCCCCAAACAGGCCTGGCCCAGAGCACCTCTACTGATGCAGTTTGCCAGGAGGAGCCCCCAGCACAGCTGTCCAGGCCAAGGTGGACCTGCTCACCGATAACCAAACCCTGTCTCTGACTTCTGCAGAGGCCTACTGCTCAGACCTCCAACAGTGAGCTGCAAACCAGCCAGGGGGAGCTGGAGAGAAGATTAAAGGAGGCTGGGGTGGAGAAAGGAGCTCGAGATAAGGAGGCCTGAGCGGCTCTTCCCCCACTGCTTCCTGCCCCAAAGCTGGCCCTCAAGATGCTCCTTTCTCCATCAACCTGGAATTGGGTTCAGCTGTTTAACTTCTTCCAGCCTCCACTTTCCTCTCGCTATGGGTTTGAGGTCCACTTGGGTTACACTGGGGCCCTTCCCAGGGCTCCTCAAATGCTGTCCTTGGAAAGCCTGCCTTGTGGGGAAACAACCTGGTTTGCAGATGGTAACCCCAGGCCCCTTTAAATTTTAAAGGAGCCTTCCTCCAGAAACATCATTATCTACAGTTTATCACTTTCATTGCAGGGTCTATAGTGAGCAAGGCTCTATGGATCAACACTCAGAGAGAAACTGGGTATTTCGTCTATGGCAACAATCATGTCTCTGAGAGCCCTGGGGCCTTCTCAGCAAGGGCTCTGTGGGTGCGTATGATAGGCCCTCATGGAAAGTCTGGTCCTGGCAACTATTACCAGGGATTCTGAATGCACACCTTACCCAGGGTAGGGAGAAGTCACCCTCTCCCTACTGGGCCTTGGAGAAGGCCTTTCTCAACTTTCCTTCTCTCTATATGCCCACCTTGGACAAGAAAGTCATTTGCCCAGGGAGGTACAAGCCCCTCAGAGGCATTAAGCCACAGTAGCACAGACTGGGCCCTGGTCATTTGAAATGTCCTCCCCTCTCTTATCAGCCCTGGATGGATGTCCTGGGCTCTGTGGCTGTCACCGTTTATCTCTCACACCAGTTGAATTCCCTCCAGAATTATGTCCTCCCATGGAAATCAAAACAGAGTCCCTGGAAGTTGAAGGAAGGGGAGAGAAGTGGCTGAGAAATTGGAGAAAACATGACAAAGTTCATAAGCACTCAAGTTGGAGAGTCAGATAGCCCTGGGCTAGCATCCAGACTCAGCTACCTGCAGGCTCTGACCCTTGCATCTATTTGACCCTCTAAACCTCACTATCCTCATCTATAAAACGAGGATAATAGTATTTCCTGCCTCCTCAGGGTCATCGTGCAGCTTGAATGAGATGAGCCTGCGAACTGTTCAGCATGTAGTAAGGGCTCATTGAATGGGCTGATAAGAAGAGGCTCCACAGCTTCCAGACAGGGATTGGGCCCAGCCATGAGGCTAGGAATGCACTCCTTCTGAGGCCTGCAGGAATTTGCTAGTCACTCAATGGCCTTTTTTCTTTTTTTCTTTTTCCAGGAGAGATTGGAGGGGGAAGCTTGGGAATGTTAAATCCGCACCTCGTTCTACAGAACAGCTACTGAGGTGAGTGAGGTTGGTAGGTAAGAAAGGGGCCCAGGCTGTGATTGGGGCAGCTGCCAGGTCCTGGGTGTCATGGTGGCCCCCAGGCAAAGCCACCTTGGGCACAGCTTGGCAGTTCGTTCAGGCATTCTCAACGGGGGCAATATCAGCCCCAAGGGGGCAAGAATTGGTTCTTAGGAGAGCAAAAAAGTTTAAGATATTACAATGGTTTGGGGCACTCCAAAGCTCAAACCTACCCGACAACATTTAATTTCTTAGCATTTCATTCCTCTCATTAGAAATAAATTTAATTCTATTTTAACAAAGTTAATTTAAATTTAAAATTTTGGTGGGGGGGACGTTAATCCAAAAAAAGGTTGAGAAACATTGGTATGCTCTGCTTGCAGACTCTCAACTTCTGTGCCAGGGTCCCTCCTCCTCTCACCAGCCCCTCCTGCTGTCCCTGCTGTATTTTGCCTTCTCCTTGAGCCCTTGGCAGCATTTGAGGCCGCTGATCAATCCAGCTCTATTTAGAGGCTGCTCTGCCCCGGGCACTGGGTATGGCCAGCGCTACTCCTTACCCTGATTCTCCCTTGGCTCCCGTGACTTCACCGTGTGGTTCTCCTCCAGCCTTTTGGCTCTTCTCTTCCTTCTACTGCCCCTACATACACAGCTCTCTCTGCTCCCCACGTGTGCCTCCAGGGCTACGCTCTGCTTGTCCTGCCCCAGACTCTGCCAAATCCCTTTGCTTCAGTGCTCACTGGAGCTCCCCAAGTGGGTTTTTCCTAGCACGCATTCTTCTTCCTCCAGGAAGCACTCCTGTCTGCCCCAGCCTGCTTGGTGCTTTCCCTTCTACAACATTTAGTTTGAACCACTTGACATGAAAGGATATATGCCCCTGTGTTATTCTCTCATGGTTTCATGGGTGCCTGTTCTACTTTTCCACCAGGATTTTCATTTCTCTGAGGATGAGACAAAGCCATAAGTTTCTGTTTGCTCCTTAGCATCCAACCCAGTTCTGGACACCAAGGAAGGCAAGTAGGTGGGTCTTTGGGGGCCAGGAAGCGCCCTAGTAGAACTCAAGGTATGAGATGCCACTGGTCGGCTCCGCCTGGGCCCGGGCAGACTGCAGTGGAAAGGCCCCTCTACCTGTCTCCCGGGTTCTGCCTCACCTGGCCGACTCCTTCCACTCCATCTGGTCTCCGTCGTGCTGCAGAGTGTCCATCTCTGTGAAGAGGGTGGGGTTGGGAGCCTCATCTTCCTCCCCCAGGATGTCCTGGAGCTGCTCAGCAGCTGGAGACCCTGCAAAAGGAGGGCAGCAGGTGTGCTGAGTGCCCCACGGGAGGTAGAGGCCAGCTGAAATGCAGCAGGAGCCAAGTGCAAGGGCAAAGTATTCCCCGACCTAGGGCTTCTCTGGTGGCGCAGTGGTTGAGAGTCCGCCTGCCGATGCAGGGGACACGGGTTCGTGCCCCGATCCGGGAAGATCCCACATGCCGCGGAACGGCTGGGCCCGTGAGCCATGGCCGCTGAGCCTGCGCGTCCGGAGCCTGTGCTCCGCAACGGGGGAGGCCACAGGAGTGAGAAGCCCGCATACCACACACACAAAAAAAAGTATTTCCTAATTCAGTAAAACGAAGTCCACCCTCTTGGCAAAGCTAGACTCAAGTTTCTGTGGATTGGATGTAGGTGGGATATTCTTCGAGATAAAAGACATGAAAGGATTTAGTCTGTATTCAGACTCCCGGGTCTTGTAGCTGACACTGAAGAAAGACGGAAAATGGCCAAAGCCAGGGCAGCAGCAAGGACAGGGAACAGAACAAATAAGTGAGGGGAGAAAAACTCTGTCCCAACTTGAGCATAACATGCCCAGAGGGACCCCTTTTCCACTGGACTCCACACACTCAACTCCCAGCATTGGCCTTGAAGGGGCAATCAGACATGTGAAAGGATGTGCTTGTACCAGTGTGGCATGTGGGCCCACTTTCTTCATGCGCAACCTAATAGTCTATCCCTGAGCTCCCAGTCTGCTTTCCAACTGCCCAGGGGATGTCGCCTTCTGGGTGTCTCTCAGGCACCTCAAGTCAGCATTCTGACGCGGAACACATACTCTTCCCCAAACATGCTTCTCCTGCCTTCCCTCCTTGCCTCCCTCCCTCCCCGCCTCCCTTTCTTCCTCCTTCCCTCCTCCCTCCCTCCCTCTCTTCCTTCTTTCTCTCACTCAATATTTAATGAATGCCTACTATGTGCCAGGCATGGTCTAGGTGTAGGGAAACAAAGCTGTGAAGGAGGCCCATATATTCTTGATCTCTTGAGCCTCTCCAGTGGCAGATACAGACAATAAACAAGTAAACAAATCCATAAAATTCAGTTCAGTGATAAGTAGTAATAAGTGTTCTGAAAAAAAAAAAAAAAAAAAAAGACCACGGAGCTATATTAGATAGCATAGTCAAGAAAGGCCTCTCTGAGGAGGGCGTATTTGAATTGGAACTTGAAAAATGAGAATGAACCACTTCTGCATATCTGGAAGAAGAGTGCTGCAGGCGTGCCAAAGACCTGAGGTGGGGTGTGCTGGTTAGTGTGTCTAGGGCATGGTGGGCTGGAGAGAGAGAGGTATCACACAACATTGAATGCCTTGGTTAGAGGCATAACTGTCCACCCAACCACACAGGCTAGACATGCTGGCATCATTCTCACCTCACCTCTTTCTCTCACCTCCACTCCCACATTAAAAGTTTTCGAGAATACTCTCCTTCCTCACCAATCCCATTGCCCCTGCCCTGGTTCAATCTCTCACTGACTGTCTTTAGGCTTCATCAAGTCTTCCTCTTCCTCCAAGCCTCTCTAACCCCTCAGTTTATCATCCCTTTGGCTTTCACTTATTTCTCCATGGACTCCCAATGGTCAATAATTTCCACTACCCTTCTCATCACAGTCTCCAGTCTCTTACTCCTTGACTTCCCAATAAAACCAGGCAGCTGATGCCCAAACAAGAATTCACTGGCCCAATCTCCACCTCTTCAAATGTGTCCTGGGGTGCAGGGAGAGGCAGTGTGGTATGGTAGTACAGTGGATGCAAGGCACACGCTAGGCTTTCAGTCCATCTAGATGTGGGTGTGAATCTCAGAGTTGCTACTTACTCATGAGTGAATTCAGTCTGAGTGAACAGGGTTATTGTCCCAATAAATCAGGTAAGGAGAATAACACGTGACACAGGGCCTGGAATATAACAGGTGCCAATCCCCCTTGCCACCAAGCTTAGCACTCAGGCTCATGAGTCTCTCTGGTGAAAACCACCCAGCTGTACAAATGGGGGGCTTCCACTGTTAACAGGTCTCAGAAGTACAGCCACTTCCACTCATCCTTGCATGCCCTTTCCCGTGTTCCTCGATGCCACCACTAACTTTTGCTCCTCTCTGCAAGCCTCTTGATCTATCTCTTATCCCACATCACCAAGAAAATAAGACCTCCAGGCATGAAATCCATCAACTTCCTCCTTTCCAGTGCTTCTGTGTCCTTACCACTGCTGGAGTCTATCTCTGAACAAGAGTTCTTCCTCTAGCCTATCTCTGGCCCCATCTATTCCCTTCTACTGGATCCTTATTTCGTCAACCAGTCTTTCCTTACCTGGGTCTTCAACTTCTCTCCCTCCACCCTCTTTCTCTCAACCCATAAACAGCTCTTCCTACTATGAAACACCTTCCCCTGATCCTGCCTGCCTTCTAAGCTCTGCTGCTCTCTTTTTCCCTTCTCTCTCCTCAACTTATTGAAGGGGAGGTCTACACTCGCTGTCTCTACTTCCTCCTTACCTAATCATTTCCCAACCTGCTGCAACTGATTCATCCCCACCACACTAAGGACATTGACTAAGGCAGAGATTTTAAACTGGAAGCTCAAAGATGTGTTTAATTCAGCCTTCACAGAGTATAAAAGTTTTTGAAATTGTTGCTAATATAAAGAATTATGAGATTGCATATAAAAATCTAGATTTCTGACTTTTCTTGAAAATTCAGATACTCTGATGACAGTGCCCATATTCCTACCTGACAACAATCAATTAGAGCTGAGTGATGGATGAGAATATGCATTTCAGTTTTCCACAGTCCCCACTACTCCCTATTATCACCCTGCGAATCTCATTTATGCTAAGCACCCAAGTGTACAACCCTGCTCTCAGATCTCTCTTGTTTTATTCTCAAATCAATAAGTCAATAAAATCAATCAAACCTACAACACTGTGAAGCTATGGTCTGGCTTGTGTCTCTGGGACATGAGTGGTGCTGACTGCTCCCTCTGAACTGAAATGCTCTTGGTTCTTATAAGATAGCACTTTCTTGATATTTTTTCCTATCTCTTTGAGGACTCCTTCTCAGTGTCCTTCCCTGGCCCTTCTTGCACGTCTCACTTAAATCTTGATCTTCCCCAGGATTCCTCCTTGGCCTTCTTGTCTCCTCTCTTTCTACACCCCGACTGGGCCACCTCATGTTCTTTTTGGTGTCGCCCTATAGCCGAGGTCACCCGCGTCTCTAGGTCCTGACTTACTGAGCATTTCCGACTGCCAGCTGGACTGCTCCATCTGGGAGTTCTCCAGCCTTCTCGAGTCAATCTCAACATATTCAAAGCAGCCCTGCCTCCCATCTTCCAACACCCCAACCTTGCCCTCCTCTGTTTTGATTAATAGTGCTCCTGGCTACCCAGCCATCCAGAGGAGAAGTCTTGGGCTCACTCCTGAAGCCTCCTTCTCTCTCATCATCCATGTCCAATCAGACACTAACGTTTTCCACTCACTTCCTGACTATTTTTTAGCTCTCTCCCTTTTTCCCACCATTGCCACCACCTTTGTTCAGGTTCTCATTATCTCCTATTCCTATCATCGCAAGAGCCACCTACTGCTCCCACTGCCTCTGCTTGCCCCATCCATCCCATTCCCTGTGTAGCACCAGAGTTTGCTTTAAGACATTTCAAACATGTTCACATGGCAGACTCCTGGGAGTCATGGTGCTCTTTGAGCAGCACCATAAAATATTGTGCATATGAGTTAGAAATAATTTTACTAGCAGAAAATACTACCAATATATCTGGATATAGCTCAATGGACTGCATTTATTTAAATGGATTTTTATTTCCGAATTTTTCTACTACTTTAAACTTAATCCTTTTTATTGATTATTGACACTTGCTAGCAGACGTCAAAGGTTTAAGGAAATTTTATAGAAGAAAATTTAGCAATTGAACAAATAACCTTATTTTGTCCTTAAATTGGGAGAAGACTATGACTGCTTGATGCTGAGAGGGCACACCAATTCTCCATGAGATCAGAGTTCAAGAACTACTCTTTTAAAATGTAGATTTGGTCACGTTACTCTCCAGGTGAAAAACATTCAATAGCTCTCTATTACCTAAAGCCTAGGGTCTATGACATGGCTCAAAACATCCCTCATGATCTGGCCCTAACCTGCCCTGGTAGGTTCTGTCATGTTCCTCCTCCAGACACCCCAGACTCCAGCCACCCTGGACCCCGGATACTCTGGACCAAAGTTACCCTGGACCCCAGCCACCCTGGACACCAGCCATCCTTAAGCCCAGACACTGTGGACCCCAGCCACTCTTGACCCCACATGCCCTGGACCCCAGCCACATCAGACCACACACAGTTCTCTGAAGAGGAGAGCACATCATTCCTTGGACCTTTTGTGCCTACCATTCCCTAAATCTGCAATCCCTTTCTGTCTTCAAGGCCAAATAAGAAGGCAAATAAATGGAACAGTCATGAAATGATGAGACCCGACAGGGAGGGCGATGCGTGAACCAGCCCTGTCTGGGGCATTACCTGCTCCCTGGAGTAGCTGAGCGCTGGGGTCTCCGGCTGTGGACACTGCCTCTGGCCCCAGCCTGTTTCTGCTGCTGCCACCCTGGCTGCTGCCTTCACACGTCCTCTTCCCCACCAGCAGAGCACAACAAACTCACTTTTGTTTCCAGTTAAGCACCAGGGGAGGTGTGGGGAGAGGAGAAGAGGGAGAGGGAAAGAGAGGGAGAGGGGGAGGGGGTGGGGGGGAGAGAAAAGGAATGTATGGAAGACTGGGGAAGTGGAGAGAGGGTTGTATGTGAGAAGATGTAGTAAGCATGAAAGGAAAAAATATTGAGAGTGAATTAAAGATATTGTGAGTATAAGAGAATTGTGTGTGTGTGTGTGAGAGAGAGAAAGGCAGAGGGGAGAGTGAGAGAGAGCTCTCAGGTTCTCAGGTGCGGTGGAGAGAGAAGGGCTCTGTGGCGGGGGCAGAACCTCCCGCAGGCAGCCGGGTCTC